ATAGATAAATAAATAAATAAATCTTTAAAAAAAGAGGGAACTGTACTGTCTTCTCATTGGCAGGTAGCCAATGGCAAGAAGAGTAGCCTACACAAGGGTACTGTACTGTGAGCACCTGAGACTAAAGAGCTCAATCAGGACAGAGTCAGAAAGCTCTTGCTTCATGCCCATCTGTTTTCCACACCCACCACAATTTATTCTTAGTTTCCGGTGAACTGATCAAGGTAACTATGTATGATTTCCTGTGTTTATCTAACTTAGCGTCTGTTGAAATTTTTTGAACCTGTAGATTTGTATTTTTCAGCCAATTTGGAAATTAAGGCAATTTTATTAATGTTTCCAGGTGTGTTCTTAAGAATGTACATTTCCTGTGTGGGGAACATATTGCTTTGTTATATCTATTTATCTATGAGGGCAAACTTCCTAATCTTATTACTGTAATGTGAATCATAAAGAAATAAGATAAAAAAAATGAACATATCTTCCTGCACTGCCCTCAGCAGTCATTTCCTTCCTGTACAGGCCAGGTTATCACCCTACCCACCCACCATCACATCACGCTTTTTGCTCCTTGTAACACACACAGCTTTTCTTTCATTGCCATTTGTTCCTGCCTGCCTTATCTCTCCCCATCTCCTCAGTTGTTGTACACTCCTGCTTTATGTATACCTTTGTAGATGTAACTATGTCTTTGGATTCCAATCTGGGGAGGATTGTGGGAGGCAGGCATCTCAAGGTCCGTCACTTCCAAGTGCAGAGACTGAAATGGGCTGGCTGGGCTTTCAACCAGTAACAAGGTCGGGAGCAAAAGTGTTTCAAAATGGGGGAGTTTGCCGAAGAGTTTCATTGTGGTTTTTCTTGATTTATTCCATTCTGAACCAGCCGGTAACTTGAGAGCCATGTCTGATCCCAGAAACTTAACAGGCCTTGTGAAATAGCCAGGTGACCAATACTGAAAAAGGAATATTCAAAAGTTGGGGGGGGGGGAATCCTCTTTCTGGGAGAATTCAAACACAGACAACTTTTATGAAACAGTGGGGAAGAAAACGACAAGGGAAGCTGAGAGGCTGAGCCAGTCTTACCATTCCCAGCAAGCATTCAGGTACTCTCTGGGAGCCACAGTGCTTCTGACTTAGCAGCTGAAGGGATTAACAGCTTTTCTGAAAAGGCTGTTCTTTTCCAAAGAACTGGCAGGCAGATAAATAATGCAGGCCAGCACCTGATGCTTACTAATGTCAAAGAAGTTTACTGTGAAAGGCAACATACTACACAAAAGACTCATCGGAAGAAAGCAAGGCCCAGCAGAGGAGGAGTGGCAAGCCAGACCAGCACACTTGCTCTTCCTAATAACAGACACATGAGGACAGGGGCAGTCACCTACAAGCCTTGCACATCTCCATTCTTTCTGCAGACATTCAGGAAGGCTTAGAAAGTAGCTCTCACATATTTCTTTAATCTGAAGATACTGTATCTCATGTCTGATGTTTGCACAGTGACAAATACACAGAACACAGAATCCGCATGGCCCCTGCAGAGAGAAGCCATATTCCTGGTAAGAATCAGGAGACTTGGCACGTGTGGTACATCAGGAAATAGCTGCAGAGGATGCTGACATGTGACGGTGGACACGACCAAGACGCTTCCTTCTTTATCTCCCCTTGCAAGTAAATGATGGTCTCTGATCCTCTGTGGGGTGGGGGAGCCATCTGTTTAATTTTGCCAACGACCCAAGGCAAGTGTCAGCCTCTCCAGTTCACAGATGTGCTGCTGCAGGAAGCCGAGAGGGATGCTTGCCTATCACTCTTTGAACTAGCCAGGGAGGAATTAGAGGAGGGAGCCTGAGAACTCAGCACACTGATCCTCTCTCTGGTGCAGGCTCATAAGTAACCACAGCAGCCACACAGTGTGGAGTAGGTAGCGCAGGTGGCCAGGCCATGCAGGCACTCTGAAAGCTTCTATCTCAGGGCTCCGGGTTCTCTGGGCTCTGTGTGACCTTTTACTCATGTGAGGTTCTCTGGGGTGCCAGAAGTTCTATGAGAATCTATAGCCAGGCATACCCACGCAGGCACCTGCTCAGTGCCACATTGAGAGAAGACTAGGTCTAAATTCATCACAGTTTCATACCCCAGCAACTGCACTGATGGGTCACGGAAAGTTTTGCTTGAACAGAAAATGGGTAAACAAACACAGAGAGTAGAACTGATTTAATAAAACAAAAACAAAAACACAACCCACAAATGACAACATTTACATCTACCACTGTACTCTCTATTCCTATTTCCAACCTGACTTCTTTTCTGGAACATGTTCAGCTATGAGGACTGAGCACCAAGAGTCCCATATCCCACAGCAGAAACATCAGCGTGAGTCTCTGACACTCCTAATAAATCATTCCATTTCTTCATGAAGCCACTGAGTAATGGTGTAATTTAGAAGCCAGTGCTTCAACCCATTACCAAGTACACCCACACGAGAGAGCACAATTTACCCTGAGAACTGGGAAGCTTCCTGCAAGCAGACCCACAGTAAAGCGACATTTCATGCGGCCATGGGGGTGGCTCACCAGGTTCTGTTAACTTCCAAAGTCCACTTCCAGCCCACCTTCACTGAGCATGGCTAGTCACCGACTCTGGAGATCCAGCTCACATCTGTGTGTCCTGCCACAGAACCAAGGAAAACGGGAAGGCAAGCAAGACTGAAAAGCATGTGGCTTCATCCAGTGTGCACCCTGGGATCTAAGGCGCTCAGAAAAGCCCAGGGAGCAGGACCACATGTGTGTTCTTTTGAGGTTCTGCACACACTGACAAGGGCAGAATTGGGCACTGACTACTGGACAGGATGCTATGCTGGTTTTCTATTTCAACTTACCCTCTTACCATCTCCATGGTAAGAGACTACCATGTTAACAGATGTGGAGCCCCAGAGCTCAGGTTGGGGAGCCTAAGCCTGCTTCAAAAGCCAAAGTGGGATCCACAAATATCTTTATTGCCCCAAACTCATACTTTTAGCTATGTCTCTATGTAATCTCTATGTCAAAGAACCCCCAAATGTTTATATAAGGAACCCACAGGGCAGCCATCTCTCTCGGCGTCTCCTGGGCAAGGATCTTCTTTCCCTGGCTGTCACAATGGACATGAGTATGTCCACTGGTGCCATGTAGGGACACTGAAGCCATCTCCTAACAGCATTTAAGATGCTGCACAGTCCCTCTCACCAGGTGAGGCCTGTTCAAACACAACTTGGCAGTGCAGGTCTGAGAGAATCACTGAAATCCACACTATCATGGGGACTATGGCCTCAAGAGCTGGTCCTGCCACATTAGCTTCCTTTGCTAGGTAGTAGACAGCAGCAGTTTGAAGCTCATTAGCATGGACTCCTCCTCAAAACCTGAAGCTTGTAAAATTGGGAGCTGAAACTTCTGGGTAGTGATTGCTGGCCAGAAAAAAAAAAAAAAAGTGATCTGAATCAGATGTCTGAGCCAGAATGGAGACATAACAAACTGAACTACCCTGAAGTTCATAGTTACTCTTGAGCAGGAAGCTGGTGAAGAACAAAGGTGCCTTTATTAAGCACCCTTTATTAAAGCCTACCTAAACATGAAGTTTACTACAATGGTCCTTGGCCACTGCCCACCATCCCTCTAGAGCCCCTTTGGTAGTAAGCCTTTCCCACACTCTTCAGTATGCTGTGGGTTCTGTGCAAACTCTTTTGAGAGAGACAATGGCTAAATTACTGAGGATACAGATCCAGGTAACACTGCGGAAAACAGGTAACACCTGTTTTCTTTGTCACCTCTAGAACTCAGGTTCCCAGAAAGAGGATCCACCTATCTAGAACAGGCTCAAACAGAACCCTAAGTTCCCCACACTCGAGAACTCTTTGTCAACCCCGTACACGTCACAATTTTTTACTAAATCTCTCTACAGGGCTACTGACACCTCAGGGGTGGGAGGTGGCACCAACCTGCTCACCCAAGTCAGCATCTGTGGACATCAGCAGCTACCTTTCATCTCTCTCCTGGAAAGGCTCTCTCCAAGATATATCTGTAACAGTCTGTGCTGTCAGCAAGTCATGCAACCACCACACTTGAAAGCCCTTCTCACCTTGCAAACCTTCTGTAATCAGCAGTGACAGAGTCAAGAGACACCCACAGAACAATTACCAGGAGACTGACTTCCAAGGAGGCGGCTCCATCAGGCACCAGGAATTGGGAAGACCACTGATGAAACAAAATGAGGCCTGGCCAATTTGCATTTAAAACTCAGTCAGAATGCCAAAAGCAAGCATCCATCAACCAAAAATAAAAGCTGGCCTGACCTTTTACCACTAGGACTAGGATGTGTTGCCATTTGCAAGTTGGCATCCAGAGAAAAGGCTAACCAGCAAGGAAGCATGTGTGGTCATACTCCAATAAGAACGTTCACTTAGGACTCACTTTATCCCTCTCCGGACTTCCTTCTCAGCCTTACAAAGATTCAGTCAAATACATCATTTTCCTGCAAGATAGAATAGCAGCAAGAGAGAGGGGAGGTGGAAATAGCCTGGGGCGGGGGCAAATAGAGAAAGGCGAAGCCTAGGCAAGGGACACAAAAACAAAATTAACACCAGTTTAAGACTATTATTTCCTTTATTCAAAAAATAAATATTTCACTTTGAGTCAACATATTTCAAATCCCGTCAAGCACAGAGAAGAAATGCTGTCGCCGTAGAAAGTTGTGAATGGGAGCAGGAAAGCATGTTGTTGAATATGGGAGGGAGGGTGGCACTGATTCCAACAGCCTCACCCAGAGAGTCCTCCTCTCTCCAGGTGCAGCTATGCATCGCGTTGCTTTCAGGAGAAAAAGAAACACACACACACTCACTCACAACCACACACACACACAGCTCTGAAGTCTGAAAGGCACATGAAGTGGACCATCAGGTATATGGCACATTCACTGATAAAATGTTCCCTATTCCCTCCCCCAAAAAAGTAGAGAAATTTTAATCAAGTCAAAGAGCAGAAAAGACAGGGCACTCCTGCTCGGAGCGCAGCATCGTGGACATCCCTGCGGAGGAAAGCTGGAGTAGGGGTGCTCTCACTCGGTGACTGTGGGGCGCGTGGCCACGTATACAAACACCACGATCAGGAGCACCACCACAGCCAGGGTAGGCAGAACCACCGTGGTGATCTGCTGCCGGGCCTCCTGCATGGCCTGCTTCCGCTCCTTCTTGTCCTTGGATGTCTCCTTCTTTGGCTTCCCTTTGAGCTGACGCATCTTTGTTAGAGGATGCTGGGAAAAGATGTCCAGAGAGGGCTTGGAGGAAGGGCTGGTCACAATCCTCTGTCCAGGCAGGAGACCTCTGCAAGGAGAACAACTGTGATCAGGAAGGAACAGAACAAAGGAAGTAAAGGAAATCTCAGGGCTGGGGAGATGGCTCGGCGATAACACTCCCTATGCAAGGACTTGTGTTCATATCGTTCTCCAGAAGGAGCTAATTCAAGACAAGTTAAAGTATATAAAGGCAGGTTTACTAGGACCAACTCTCATTGGGTTTACTGGTCCCAAAGAAGGGAGCCAGAGAAGTCGCCATGCCATGGGAGACAGAAAAGTGCCTATGCAGAGAGAGAAGAGAGAGGGCAGAACCAAAATGTCTGAATTATATAGTGAAGGGCCTCTGGGGGACCGGAAGCCCCACACCTGGGTTGGAAAGTTCAGGGTAGAGGGCAGGATATGCCAGCCACACCCTGCAGCAGCACGTAGGTACTGAGGGATGCTGGGAGAAACTGGAGGTCAGGTCTGCTGGTTTAAAAGGCAGTTCAGCTGCTTGTCCCGGGTCTGAAGCCCACCACCCCATACCCACATATTAGGCTAGGCATGGCTGCACATGTCTATAACCCTAGCACCAGGGAAGAGAGGCCAGCAGCCTAGTCAAAACAGTGAGCCCCTGCTTTGGTGAGAGATACTGCCTCAAGTCAGTAAGAGACATTACTAGATAGAGACACCCTATATCCTGCTGTGGCCTCCTTTTATGTAGCAAACTTTCCATCCTGGAGAAAGTGCCTTAAGACTTGGGAAGTTCTACAGGGAGATTCATCAAGACTTTGTCAGGAGGTCCCTGATTCTGAGCAGATGCACAAGGCTGTTCCCTCCCCAAGGTTATGTAAGTGGTAAGGACTTCTAAGGAGACCCAGACCAGATGAGCTGAATTACCTAGAGAGAGTCAGCTCTGTAGATCTGCCTGCAAGTGGAGCAGGCCCTGGGGTTGTGGTGCTTATGCAGCACCAACCTGTGCTGGAGTGGGATTTCGGTGAAGTAGCTGCCTTTGTGTCATTCCTGATCCTGTAAGTACCCTGAACTTAATAGATCACTAAGTTGGACTTTGATGGTATCAACACTTTTGTGTGTCATCGGCTCCCTATCTGAGATGCACCACATATACAACATACCAATACATACATACACACACACACACACACACACGAGAGTAGTTCAAGGAAACATGGTATGCCTATTTACAACATGTAAGTCAGGGGCAAAGAAAGAGCAGAGGTCATGACAAGACAGCTCCATCCAAACCCTCCTGAGCACTGCTAGTTCGAGGCATCCTCCAGTGCTGAGGCTAGATCGGGGAGGGGCTGGTTCTGTCTTCCAGGGACCACAGTGCTAGGTGCAGGCTATGCTGCAGGAAGAGTGGAGTCTGGCCAGATCCACAGTGAAGGGAGACTAAATGAGCCCATGGTCTCACCACCCCTTAAATTCTGAGACTCATGGAGATACTCAGGTATCTGGAACAAGATTAACACCCTCAATTAACTACAGCACAACCTCTCTACAGAACTCTGCTTCTTAAAGTTTTAAGCAACAGAAACATACTTTGGCTGATTCAAATTGCCAGAACTTTTGGCACCTCATCACTTCCTCAAAAAGTAAGAAGCACCAGCTCAGAAAATGGGCAACGTAAGGGAGGCCATGGTGCCACAATCCTTCTTCCGATCCAGTTCCCAACGCACAGGCACTATAGTCTGCATCTTCCCTGACAGCATAGTACCACTATGTCATTTCCACATGGCAGTGCTACAGCCATGCTAGAAGCAGATACAATGCTGACTGCTAGGACCAACTCCACACCACCCAACCCATGCTCAGCTCCAGTACATCCACAGGACACCCTCTACCTCACAGCACACAGAGCGCCCTCCAGACACAGGGAAGGATCTAACAGCATTAGATCCTGGGCGCGATGTACTAATCAAGAGGATGGCCATGGTAACATCCAGAGGCCCATATGAGGTTAGGAAGAGCTATGCCCTCTGACAGGGTTTTATGGCAGAGACCATGCACTCTGTGATGTCTGGGGTTGTGGGGGCCTGTTACCATCTTCATGAGTAAGCAGACATTCACACCTGAGTGACTGTTGGTGGCAGAGGCTGTTCTGAGTCAGGTCTTGATAACGTTCTTTTTCTTTGCAAGGGATCCTAATCTCTTACTGCTCCTGTTTCCATAGGAAACCTGAAACTGCTTCATCCAATCAGGCAGGTTCTTACTGAGTGAGGTGACTAGCATTACTGCACTAAGACTGTGTAATACCAGCCCCAGCCAAGTAATAAAGTTTGCCCCTCGCTTTTCAACACCTCCATATATGGCAGCTCCTAACAACAGCCACTAGATTCTTCCCCAGTGGCCCAGCTGTGACAAGCCTAGTATCCAGCCTATGGTGCTGTCCAGAGGTGCCAGAACCTTTAAGAGGCAGGGCCTAGGTCACCGACAGGCATGCCCCACCCTCCCTCCCTCTCTTGTTTTGCTGTCCATCAGGAAGTGACCAGTATTACTATCACAGGCTCCTATCGTGATGTGCGGCACCCACTAATGGAGGTCTAACTGACACACCTTCAAACTGTGAGTCAAAATAAGCCCTTTCTCTTCTCGGATTAACTGCGTAGGGCATCCGTTACCGGAGGGTTCTGTAGAGGGGGCCACACAGCACTGCTGCTTTGAAGGAAGGCCTCACAGTACAGGAAGTCCCGCCACTACAGACTCCCCTTTCCAAATCCTCCAAGGGACTTGGAGATACCCCGTTCAAAGCTCACAGGTGCAGTTGTCGGATTATTTCTCCAGGCCCCAAAACCATCATCAGAACAATGAGAACCAGGGAGGACCCATGGGGCATATCTGAGATTCACAGCCACTGTGCATGAGGGCAAAGCAAGGCTCTGAAACTCAGGCCAGAGCAATTAGAACAGAAACCCACCGTCCTGTAACATGCTTTAGTTTTCCTACTATTGAGAGAGAAGAACACCACGGGCTATAGATAAAAAATGTCCTTTGGCAGTCACCCAGTCTGTAAACAGTCCCCAGTGGCTTGTGACTAAGTGAGAGACAGCACCTAGTCCATCCTCTTCCTGAACAAGCAGCTACCAGCACCCTGACTGCTGGCCATTTCACTGTAAGGCTGCTGGACAGCCCAACCCCACCAATGCCTCTTGCAGCATTCCTTCAAGCTGGCCATGAGTCCCTGCATTAAGCATCCACTCTAGCTAACAGTACAGTGCCTGACTTCCGGTCCTGCTCCTTCCGCTGCTGCTGGTACCTCCCACGAATGTGCAGCTAACAATCAAAGGCACCAGCACACACAGTGACCAACTCTTGGCATTTTTAAGACATATGGACAAGTTCCCTGAGGCTGAGAAACAAAAGCCGTGAGGTCCCAGGATGGCACTAGCATGGTAAAAATTCATAAGACAAACACAATCCAAATTCTTGTACCTTAAACTGTAGTGTGGGCAGATAAGGAGAGCAACTCTAAGGTCATACCTGAAGGGGAAACCCCGTGTGGAAAGGGACTAACCAAGACAAAAGCTGGGAAGAGCACATGGCAGGGGCAAAAGCGAAACGTGTGCCAGGAGGGGCTGAGTCACTGCGGCAAAACTAGAGTAAAGAGGGGCACGGGGAACTGGGGATACAGAGTCAGCTCTTCCCAGAGTCTTAGTGAGGCAGGGGGCTTCATTCCAAAGGCAGCAAAGGAGGAAAAGAGGAATGGTCTAGTGGGTGGTGGGGTCTTGGACATGGGGCAGTCAATGTGATGAAGTTGGAGTTGCTTGCCAGAAGTCCAATGGCTAGGCCTTCCTGGCAGATCAGATGTGGCCAGTGAGGACCTGGGCAGGGACAATGAAGAGGACTCTACATTCTGGAGACACTGAATGTAGATGGCTAGTGACACAATCATGACAGAACTGAGACGCAGAAGGCCTGGTACTGGGCAGAGAAGATCCCAGGGAGGATAGTAAAGCTCTGTTCACACCTGCCATGTATAAGGCTGTCTACTGGGCGTTGCCATGGAAACACCCAGGAAATACCTGAGAATCTGGAGCTGAGTCTGCCCGTAGATCTTCAGCGGGCCTAGGGGAGGTCAGCACATCAAGGCAGGCAGGGAAGAGGACCTGGGCCTCGACCCTGCTTCCACACCTGCAGCCTTGAAGCTGTGGGTCAGTAGACAAGAAGAAAAGAAACTGAAGAGAATGCTCCTCGTGGGGCTCAGGAAAGCCAAGGTCACTGCTGCGAAGACAAGACAAACATACGCTGCATCCACTAGTGACTGTACCGTGGCTGCTGTGGAGGATTGCAACGGGGATGAGACAGGGTGGGAGCAGCAACTGCATGGGGCTGCTGATGTTCCAAAACTTCTCTTACTCAGCTGGTTACAACATGTTTTGGAATGTAACCGAGCATGCTGCTCCCTTCCTTGGCAGAATTTTGCCATAAAAAAAAAAAAAAAAATTGGCTAAACATACTCAAGGCACAGCTGATTTCCACATTGGCACAAACACCTTCACATTCCCCCAAACTATAAATAAAGACAGCACACATTTTGAAAAGCAAAGTACAGACAGCTGGCTTGACGCTCTGCTAGAAAACTGTGTGGCCAAAAGGGGTTTTCTGATTTTATCCTAGAAGGGTTACTAGCAGAATGAAAGAGAATCCTGTTGCTAATGATGGGTATGGGAAGGAGCAGAAGTGAGAACATACTTGCAAAGGGGAGAGGAGAACAGAGGGAAGAAGGTGATGGAAGGAAACAGGAGTATGACTCTGCCCTGGGAACATAGGAGTACGAGGTCTACACGGGAGGAATGGGTTTTCACTGGAGGAGACACAGGAGGAGTGGGTCTGTACTGGAGGAGACACAGGAAGTGTGCTTCTGTCAGGAAGAGACATGGCAGGATGGGGTTCAGACCGAAGAAGACATAGGAGGGAGGGTTCTGCCTGCCTGGAGGGGACACAGTGACTTAAGACTGCACTAGAAAGAAACAAAGGCTTCTGGCTTTTTTGTTTGTTTGTTTTGTTTTTGAAATAAACTGGAGA